ACCGAGAAGTTATCCCCCAAGCACTTCTGTTCGATCGGAGGATCTGAAAGTAGACAAGCCAGCGCTACCCCCATCTCAATTTCAGCGCTCTCGGAATCTACATTTTTACACTGCTCAACCTCAGCTGATAGGTCTGTCTGCTCCTCGACAACATCATTCTCGGATAACTGCAGGTCAAAGAAGATCTCAAACCCCGGCAGGCGCCTCCTCTCCGCATTCAATCATGGCTCTGGGAAGCCGCAGAATGGAAAATCCTTCCCCTCCCGGACAAAGCGTCCGTTTGGGGTACCCTGAATGGGTCAGTGCATTAACTCATATGGCTTCCCTTCCTTCTTTGCTCTGGCTCTTCCAGCTATCTCCTTACCTTTCCTTACACAATCCTCTTTGGTGGGCAGATAACCCAAGCCAAAGGTATGCGGATTGTACGGAACTTCGGTCGATCCAATAATGCCCTTCCGGCCATTCTTTCCCAATCCCATCCCAGGGATGTGCTGAAGTTTGTTCATGAGATACACTGACTGTGCACTGACATACAACCCCTCATTATCATCCAAGATGTTCTGAACGACCCGAGCCTCGGCCAGGGTAAATCCTGATAAGAAGACATCCTCCGTAACATGCTCAATTTCCAAAACCAGTGTGGACACCTCTGGTGGCGGATGGATCGATGAATTCTCAAAAACTATAGCCACCCCCTTCCCATGGGGGTATTTCAACATCTGGTGCAAGGTGGAAGAAACTGCCTTTACCTGGTGCAACCACGGTCGCCCCAAAAGTAGGTTAAAGGTTGCGGGAACGTCCAAGACATGGAAATCAATCTCGTGCTGTCCTGGACCAACCTAGGTCTGAATTTTGACAGTCCTCATCACCTCCCTGCTTGTGTTATCATACGCCCGAATCACCTGGGCAGTTGGCACGAAGTTCGTGGGCTTTAACTCGATTGCATATGTCGTCCTTGACGGCACACATTAATGGCGGATCCCGTGTCAACAAGAACCACTGGTATCCATTTGCCTCTACATTCGACAGAGATGTAGAGAGGTTTGTTGTGATTTACGCCCTCAGGCGGTAGTTCTTTGTCGGAAAAGGTCAACGTCGGGGAACCTCCTCCCGAAAAAACCAATCCAGCTAGCTGCTCCGACGTGGTGTCTATCGAGAGTTTGGCCTTGTCCATGGCTGAAAGGACGGCCTGTCTATGTACTCGAGAAGCCATAAGCAGTCCCCAGATGGAGATGTCTGCTTGTATCTTTTTCAAATGTCTCAAGACGGCCTCATCTTCGAGTTGCTTTTCTTTCTGCTTCTCCGCTTCCCTATCCTTCCCAAACGCCTCTGATTGATCTAGGTGTGGAGGCTTGAAATACCATCCACTCCTAGTCATATGATCGACTTTGCCGATGTACCAGGTATCATCTGGTTGGTTACTTCCCCAATCCTCGTCCGTATGGACAAGACATAGGTCATCGTCCTCCCACCACATTCCATCGACAATCGACAGACACCTATCTGGCTCTAGTATGACCGTTCTCGTACTCACAGTACCCTCCATCCATATGCTCACAGCATTCTCTGTCTCTGTGCACACATCAGTTTTAGTCCCCACGCGGGCCTTAGCTTTCCTGATTCTCTCAGAATCCTCAAACCTTTCCTGTTCCAACTGTGTCAGTACAGCTGGCTATTCATCAATTCCTGTATTCAAAATGCTCCAATCCTGGGCAAAATTCTTGACACCGGTGCTCTCCGGCGATTCATTTTGACTTCCGGCCCTTCCGGCCACAACTGATATTCTCGCCCCTGCCGGGCCCTGTTCTGGTTGGAATTCTTCCACAACATCTGGTTGATCATCCAGCCACCCGGTAGCCTCTGCCGATTCCTCATAATCAAACCAGTTGACTGTCGTGTCCCCTGGATCTTGGTCATTAAAAAACTGGAGGTTGGCAAATCCTCTCCCACAGCCGCCAAATCATCTGCTCCTTGCTCAAATCTATCCCCCTGGATCACACACAGCTCTGCCCTCTCTAGCAATTCTATACTTGGCCTAGCCTGGCCTGTTGACAGAATGTAATCACTCGGATTGTAGGCTTCCTCAGCGAGACTCCCAGACTGCTCAAACCTTGACTCAACAATCTCATCCTCCTCTGCAATCTCTCTTGTTCTGTCTTCGACAGTCACCACCATTGGCTCGGGTTAGGTTCTGGAGATGTCCAACATGCACAAAGAGTCGGTGCAGTCAGGAAGGAGCACCTCCGGATTAGGTAGGTGGGAAGGAGTGATATAGATGCTAGGATCGTAAGGCACGACCCCAGTCTGGATAAAGTTGACTTTTTTGAGAGGTGGAGCTTGGTTGTGTGTAGGGAGCGGGTTAGTTGTGACGTTGGGTTTTTCTGGAGGCAGGATCACCTGTTTGTCAATGAGATCTTGAATCTCATGACGCAGTCGGAAACATTGGTCAGTGTCATGACCACGTTGTTGGTGATATGCGCAGTATTTGGCTGGGTTATGAGAGGAGGGGAGTGGGTTTGGTAATGGCCTCAGCTCCAGGGGTTTTAGATGCCTTTTCCTGATTAATACCCCTAGAGCCTTGGACAGGGGCATATACAATGGGGTGAAGGTTCTTTGGCCTCTGGGTTGGTATTTGGTGGTCTGTGTATTGCTTCCGGATGCACCGGAGAAAGGTGTGGCTGCCATGGGTCTTGGAAGGGGAGAGGGAATGGTGGTGACCATGCTCACCTCCGAAGCTCTTGCAATTGCAGCGCCACTTGGGCCTGCATTGTTGTTGCGGTTAAAGGTTCTTCTGGGCTGCTCTCTATCTTGGTCAATCAGACCCTGTTTCATTGCATCTTCGATTTGTATCCCCATTTCATGTAAATCTGAAAAAGTGGGAAAAGGGAGCACAATCATTTTTTGCATCAGTTTTGGCTGGAGATTGCGCACAATCATCCTGATTTAATCTTTGTCGGTAGGCCTAAGGGTCATCATTGAAGCCTTCGCCCTCCACCGAGTTACGAAATTCGAGAAGCTCTCCTTAGGCTCCTGCCTTGTTGTTTCGAGATCTCGGGTCGTAATCTCGATTTGGGTATTGTAAGAGTATTGCGCGACAAAGGGCTCGGCCATTTCATCCCAACTCTGCTTGACATCATCCTCTAACTTTGCATACCAGATAGCGGCCACACCCGACAGGGTCCGTCCGAATAGTGAAAGCTTTTGTGGTCTGGTGAGGCCCATTGGCCGTAATATATCTGAGAATAGCCGGAGATACACCATGGGGTCCCCAGATTCGTCAAAGCGATCAATTTGCGGCATTTTAAACCTATCCGGCAGCGTTACAGCCACATCGGTATATCCGTCCTCTATATCCGGGATAGCCTTTACCCCTTGAAATTTCTTGAACAACTTCTCAAGCTTGCTCAATTTCAGTGCTGTAGGGTCTATTTCGAACTCGAAGGGAGAGTCCGGGTGATTGATAGGCGTAGGTGCCTTGGATAATTGAGGTAGAATCGGGGGCAGAGCCGGCCCCGTTGAGATGTCTGTATTCTCCTGGATATTCTGGATATTTGACAGGATGTTCTGGACGTTTGGTGTCTCCTCGGGTAGCTGGACCCTTGGTGGGGGAGGAGCTTGATGCGAGGCTGATACTCCGGCTTGCTGCTGTAGCCGGGTAATTAGCTTTGTCTGCTGGGCCATGATCACAGTCTGTTGTTTGGAGAATTCCACTTGGCGGGCAGCGTCCTCCTACATGAGCTTCATACTTTCTTGAAGCTGACGCATCATTGCCTCCATCCCTGATGTATTCTGCTGATCCATTTGACTGACTGGTATATCTATCTCTATGGCAACAATTGAGACCTCAGCCCAACTGTTCACTGATGGGGTAAACCACTGCTCTGGCAACCTTTGCTCGGATACACTGCGTTTCCTCGGCCTTCGCCTGATAACCGGGGGTAGAGAGTAGAACACTGGTTTTCCGTCAACCAGATCCTCAGATCGATTGAGTCGGCGACCTCTAGTCCAGAGTGCTTGGAGAATATCTGCTTGGTTTGAAGTAATTGTGCTAAACTACCTAGCAAAAAGATAAATAAAGCAATAATAAGGAAATAAACAACCAGACAAACGGACAGCATAACGGCTTAAAATAAACACACAAAACACAGTTGGGCATCACAACACACAGTCGATAAGCTGAAAATACTGTTCTCAAACACTGATCATTATCCCCAAATCACTGCCCCCGAAGCTGAATCTGATACCCGCAGATAACTGATTCTCAAACACTGAGCTGGTGCTCGCAGGCCTGATGTCCAAACTCGCAAACTGATACATGTATTCCATGTAGAGACGTACTCTAAAAGCACAAAACAGATAAGTGAGAGCCAAAACACTCCTATGTTGGGGTAGGGTTTCCCTGTCCTATTTTGTCAGGAGCTAGGGTTTCACTATGCACGCAGCGGTTTCAAACAACCTATCAGGTAAGCAACCTGTCCTAGCTTGGAATGGTCACTATGGATCCGAATATGCACTAGGTCGAATGGTCAAAAGGGTGCCCTGGTAAAACCGGGGTTTGTGTTCCCATACTGGCAGAGCCCGTAACCGGTAAGCCTTATGGCACGCAGCCTCTGGCAAATCGCTCAGGAATAGCAGATGGCAAACACGGTGTCCTAGGCGCACCAATGCAAATGCAATGCAAAGAAACACATAAGTGTAGTCAAAACAAGATATCATGAGTTCGAGTCAAGTTCTCTAAGTCCCCAGCAGAGTCGCCAGAAACTGTAGACGCGCCATTGGGCCTCGCTACAGTTCGGACTCAATTTGTGTCACGGTCCTGTATCTAATCTCGCAGAGTGCAATGCAAGACCAATGAAATCATCAAAAAGTCCAAATCTGGCAAATTATTTTTGAAAACAAATTTTTTGAAAGAAGTGCCAAACATGGACTGCTTTGCCAGATACAGAGTCGCCACCTAAATATTTATTTTGGGGGAATTTAGGAAACCCTGACTCGTTGCCTAAGGCCATGTGTCCGTCATCACCAAAGTTGCCTCGGCTCGGGAACTTGGGTACGATTGGGGAAGGTCACTTCGTGAGCACCCCCACTCGCCCGATCAAAGATCGGCCTCTACTAACCATGATATCTAGTTTTGAAAACATTATGCGTTCTTATTCCGGTTATTAGCCTAGATTTACTACGTGATGCGCACAACATACAAGTATAGACTGGATCGCCTGAATTGGAACAAAACATTTCATGTTTGTTTCGAAAAACGGTTTGCTACTCGCAAATAGGCTAAAAATGTGGATTTGCCACCCTCAGGTGGGCTTAGAAAAAATGATTTTGCTACTCTCAAGTGGGCTTAAAACTCGCATTTAATGAATTGTTCCAATCCAAATAACCCAACCTTCACCCACAGGCATTCAGACAGTTATATCATATAAGCAAATAGCCTCGTGGTAAAGCATGCTATCATGGCAGTCACTCACACGCGTGCAAGAATGCTAAAGCATAACCACTTACCGAGTACTCCAAGCCAAAACAGAAGCTAATTAGAAATCCATGCATGGTCCTAACTATACAGAAATGCCTAATGCAACACATGCAAAATGCATGCAAACATGCTATCATACTGTATGCTAATTGAAACATGCCCTAATCTAACCATCATAAGCTGGTAAATAAAAGGGAGAAAGACGTGGGGTTGGAAGACATACATCACACGCACGCACACTTATTACAGTTGTGGCCTCGGTCGGAGGGTTTGAATAAATAATACAGTCCGAATAATAATTACAGTCCGAATAAGTACAAAACCCTAATTAATTAACAATTTAACTAGGAAAGCAAGTAAATTAGCATGCAAATCCATGGACCGCCTCAGCTCTGTTCCGAATGATGAAAGATGCATGCCCGAGTTGCCTTGCGCGGAAATCCATTGCGATGCCCCGATTCGCCTCTGTTTGTAATTAATGCCAGAATGCTGTGCAAGGCTTTAGAAAGCTCATAATTTCTGATTTGCTGCAACAGAGAGCAAGAAAGGGGCACAGCAAAGTATTTTCACATATGTATGCATGACTACTCTTCAAGAAGTGTAGTCCTCGATCCACGTGCCACCAATCACACATCTCGATGCATGATGGCCGAGGAGTCGAATTCCACGACTCGATGTGAAATGAATGCACATATAAACACAACAAGACCTAAACTCCATCATGGGTAATCCGGAGTGTCGGTGACCGGGAATTGAGACACGTTTCGTCACTTGGAGTACGGAACGTCCCTCGTTTCCCGTGCTTAGGCTAACTCCTATCCCAAACACAATGCAAATGAGATGGCATACACAATGCGACTAACATACAACCTAGCATATGTAATGCTATGAAATGGCATACACAATGCTCGATGTAACAAGGCATACACGATGCTCTAACATACAACTCAGCATACACAATGCTATGGACCAAAATGGCATACACAATGCACGATGGACTTACACCAACATGATTGGACCTCATCCACACTTACATCAGTGGCCGTGGTATGGAAAAGAGACAACCGAAATGCGTGCACACGTGCACGCATATCGAGGACCGAACCTAAGGCATAAAATGCCACTCTACCAAAGCATGGCAAGGGATGAAAGATGGCATACAAACATGTAATTTCCAGTACTGAAACATGATGCTAAATGGTCCCGAAACATGGAAATATGGCACCCGATGCATGAAATAAGCCCCGAAACTCAAAGCTAGGCACATGTATTGAATTATAACTATGCAAAGCAAGCATTATTTGGCCATGAAGTACAAAGACAGAGCCAAGAAAGTCCTAAAACATGCACATTTCTAGTTTAAAGCATGGCCAAAAAGTGTTAACATGATGGACTAAAATAGCATGTAAATTTGGCTAGCAAGCATGGTTTACATGGCATGTATATGAAGCGTATGAGAACTCATCAAACTAGCCAAAAACAGTGAATAAAACATGATAAAATATGCCCAAATAACCACTGAAATGCAGCTAACATGCGCGAAAATGATGAGCTCCTTTGAAAGGGCATGCAAGGGGTTACTTAACACATATATGATGGACACTTAGCATAGCAAAACCAACTCTGTAAATCAAATATGACAGCCCTAAAACTCACCAAAAAGGGCCTGAAATTGATCAATAAAGCATACAATGAAAGGTCCTCTTAAAAGGCCTTGAGGAGGGTTGTTCCACACATGCATGAGGGACATAAAATATGGCCAAAAAGGCCTTGGACAGAGCTAAGGCAGACCTCAAACCCTCAGAATGAGGCCTGGAACATGACTTCAAAGCATGCAAAAAGGGGTCCCTTTGGAAGGCCAACAAGACCACCAAATAAGACAATGAGAGAGGGGGGCACTCCCCTCTGATTTTGGCTCTCAAAAATGCATCTAAGCCACTAAAAATCCATTAGATTTCAGTGGCTAAGAGGCCAAACCATGGCCAATGCAAGTGCTCTAATGCATAGCCCTAATCATGAAGAAATGAAGCATGCACAGGGGGGAGATGACCCCAAACAGAGAAAGTATCTTAAACAAACATGTTTATACGCTCAAAAGGAAACTTTTTCAAGTTTTTGACAAATCTCTAAAATGCTCACAAGTAGGACTAAGATATGATGCAAAATAAGCCTACAAAGAAGGATAAAGCATACAAGGATGTAGGAGACCTCAAAAAAAAAGTGTCCTTAATCAATATTCAAGAGAAGCTCAAAATATGACACTTCTTAGTTTATGACAAAGTCCAGAAATACTTGCAAGTAAGGCTAATCAATGGAGCAAAAAAAATGCAAGTTTAAGGGAAATATGTGCTTACCCTTGAAGAGCAGCAAAGCTGGAGCTTTTGGACCAAGTTAGTGAACCTTTAACCCTTGAAAATCAGTCCCAAAGTTCTGGAATGGATGGAGGAGGTGTGGTGCTAAGGGTTGTAGTGCAAATGGTCCAAGAAAACTAGGGTTTGGAGGCTCAAGTGTAGAGATATATAGAGAGAGAGAGTTGTAAGCCTTCAAAGTTGTTCAGCCCCTCAAATGGAAGAGGACGGCCTCTCTTATAGATGAGAGAGACCAAAGCTTCTCTTGGAAGCCTCAAAGATCCTCCATACACGTGTATGGAGGATGGTCCAAATGCCTCCCAGCTGGCACAGTTGGATTGCATTCAGGGAGAGCAAAAAGCAAGAAGCAGGCCGACCAGTTCAAGTGGCTGGCCGGCCACTCCCCCTGGTCGGCCAACCAGGGGTCAAAAGAGTCAAGAAGAAATGCTAGCCGGCCACCCCAGAAAGGTGGCCTCCCAGATGAGTGCAACACAGCTGTATGGTGGAAAACTAGAAAAAGTGACCCAAGAGAGAGAAAAACCAGCTTTTTAGCAAGGTTCAAAAGGGTCAAGATGAATTACTGGTCGGCCTACCCATATTGGTGGCCTCCCAGATGAGCACAACACGATGGTGGTATGACAAGCCAGAAATTGTGGCTCAAAAGTGAGAAAAACCAGCTTTTTATCAGAAAAATCGGCTTTTGGAGAGATAAAAAGAGAAAACTGGTTTTTCAGGGGAAAAGGTGGCCTCCCACCATCCTACCACCTCCCTAACAATGAAAATAGGGACTCTACCAAAAATGGGCCAAGACGGATACAAAACGAAGGTTCG